CCTACCAGAACACCTCAGCCTCCTGAAATGAATCCTTTGTCAGCAGTTAACATGTTTCAGAAACAAAATTCAAAACCTGGCACGCCGGTTGGTATTACAAGGGGCAAAGAAAAACAGGCACGTCAACCAGGTGTATTGCCACCTTCATCTTCACCGAAAGGAGGTAATTTGGGCTCAGTGTCAGTCCGCTCTAAATTTCCAAATTCTCTAGCAGCATCTTCTCATCCCAAGCTCAAGCCTTCAAAAGGTGTAACAAAGAAACCACATGTTCCTTTGAACAATGTATCACCTTCACTTGCTTCTTCAAACCTAGTAGGTACAAACATTTCTTCACCAGCTATAACAAGAACTGCACCCTGTGCATCCGAGTCACTGAGAAAATGTATCGCATCCCCCAGTACCCCGAAGGCCAAGGTTATTCCAGCCAAGAATTCAAGAGATCTGCCTGATTCTACACTTTTGCCAAGTAAGTCTTCTGGAAAAACGGAACCAAGGTATTTGAAACACAATCATATTTCTTCCAGGGATGGTGCAGCATTTCACTTAGCTGCACATTTGAATTCATCATCAAAGTGTCCCAAGCTACCTAAAGCAAACATACACGCAAGGCCTAAACCTCCTCCTTCTTTCCAGTCCTCTGCAAAAATGACAAAACCTAGTTCCAAAACCACAGCCACAAGTCCAGGAACGCGGTCTCAGCCATCTGGTAGAGCCCCACAAGCAAAGCCAATCCCCGCACAGAAGCTTAAATCAGCCTTGAGTTTAAATCAGCCAGTTTCTGTATCCTCAGTTTCTCCTGCAAAAGCTGCACAGGAATTGAAAGATAAGAATATAGTTTCAGTTGCCAAAAAGCAGCCTCAGAATAAAAGTACATGTCAGAAGAAAGGACCCAGCTCCTCAAAGTCTCCCGGCCGCACCCCACTGTCCCTTGTGAGCATTCCCCAGTCTTCTGTCAAAACACAAACTGCACCAAAGTCCGCACAGACTGCCCCTAAGGGCCAGTGTTCAGCTAAAGGATCTTCAAAAACTAGTAAAACCCCAACTTCAACCAGGAAACCACCCTCATCTGTTAAGGAAACAGATAGTGGGGATAAAAAACCTACTGCAAAGAAAAAGGAAGATGATGACCATTATTTTGTCATGACTGGAAGTAAGAAACCTAGGAAATAAATACATATGTGTCATTTTAAGAAAACAGAGGAAAGGAAAAGAGTGAATGTGTTAGTTTCACATCTTAAAAGTTTCTCCTATTTGTGTTTGTCCAAATAGGTACAGACAGTAAGTACAAGATGGGGGTTGGAGGTTGGGATGAGAAGAAAGTTCACCAGAAGTGCTCTTCTGAGGCAAACAGTGTAAAATCACCCCAAGTTATTAATCATAGACATGTATATGATTTTCAATCCATACCGTTTTTATTAACATCCTCCCTTGAAGGGAAACGTAAAAGTTAAATAACACTACAAGAATTATAACTACAGCTATTATATTTTTGAATATGTATTAAATGTGGAGTTTATACACCTGCTAATATTAACAGTGGTGCTCTTACTGTTAGTTAATTGCATTTTAGTAAAAAAAAGCAAATGGTTTGGCACTTGTCTTACAAAAGGCACCTAATTTAATTTCCTGGTCAGGATTGACTGATCCACCAATACTAAGTACCAATGGCTGCTGCTGATTAGCTTGGCACTACTCTGAGTTAGGTATAATTCTTATTTAAATTTTTTTAGGCTTTCCAAATCAGAAGGAACTGATTTTTTACTTGGC